CGGACAATCTCATGAGGTGTTTATGATCAACACCGAGGAAGTAGCCAAAATGGTTGAGGATGCTTTAGCTAAGCAGAAAGAAGCATTCAAGATCGAAGTGGAAATGGCTATGCAGGAGATGAGACAGATGCACGACCAACAAATCCGAGCTTTATCGAATCAGCTAGGTGAGTCCATCCGTCGCAGCGCTGCTAACCAAGCAGGTAGCGATTCAGATGTGAATGAACACAACGCTGGGGGTGGTCCCACTAAGAATAATAATACTGGGGGTGGTCCCACCAAAGATGACAATGCTGGGGGTGACCCCGTTATTCCTCTCAGGAATTGTCCAAAACAGGATATAGATGAGGACGAAAAGATGAAGGACCTCGAGAGCAAAATTAACGCTTTAATGTCTGCTCAAGAGGTAAAGAAGACCGGCATTCCGTGTCCTTACCCGAAAGAGTGGGATTCGATCCCGTATCCGACGAAGTTCAACCTGATCAACTTCACGCCGTTCGACGGGAAGGGCTCGCCCTCCCAGCACCTGATCTACTTCAAGTCCCATTTGGGTATGATCTCCGGTAATAAAGCCTTGATGGTTCGGTCATTCGTTGGCACCCTTCGTGGGCCTGCTTTCGATTGGTACCGCCGTCTCAAACACGAAAGCATCAACAGCTGGGAGGACCTGGAGAGCATGTTCCTTGGTCATTTCTTCGATGATGACATTGAAGTGTCAATCAGGACACTCTTCGATGAGAAACAAAAAGACAGAGAGTCGGTGAATACCTTCATCAAACGCTTCCGCAATCAGGCTATGAACTGCAAGGATCCCGTAACGGAGGAATTCGTCTTGCAAACCTGTCATAACAACTTGTCCATTAACATCTTGGACGTTATGGGAGTAGAGCCACTCAATACCTGGAGAGAGTTGAAGGCGCGCGGAGAGCAGGCCGAACGATTCCTTAGAAGGAGGAAGGTTAAAAGATGTCAACCGATGACTTACCCTCTGAATCTAAATCTCGTTTCCCATGATGAAGGGAAAGCACCTACAACAGTTGTTGACGTTAATCAGACGTCACAACAGCAGCCCCAAAGACAGCAGAAGACTTCGGATCCGAGGCTTCAAAAAGAGTACTCATTCAAAGACGAAGACGTTCCAGCCATCTTCGAGACCCTTCTTGAAAACAACAAGATCAAGCTGCCACCCATCACAAATCAGGAGGAAGCTGACAATACTGTGGATCCGAAGTACTGCGCGTACCACAGAAGGATCATTCATCCCACCAAGGCTTGCTTTACTTTAAAGAATAACATCCAAATCTTGGTTGAAGCCGGCGTCATAACGCTAGGATAAGCCAAATAAGAACGGCAATACTCCGAAGAGTATATGAGTATAAACTGCTTCTCAACACTCCGAAGAGTATACGAGTATAAACTGCTTCTTAATACTCCGAAGAGTATACGAGTATAAACTGCTTCTCAACATTGACGGGAAGTTCCTGGAGGATATTACGCTAATATTCTTAAGGATAACCCGGTCATGTAACGGAGTACAAAGTCAGACCCAGTTCCAAGAAAGAAGCTGGGGGTGGATGATTCATGTAATGGGAAGTTCCCAGAAGAACGCTATATGTAATTTTCTTAGGGATAACCCAATAATTACGAACAAAGTGATAAACACTAAACCCCCACTGTGATTTGTACTCCCACTCTCACTGTCTACCTGGTCAAACCTTCCTATAGTTAGGACCACAACCAAAGTCCCCTCTCGATTCCTTCCATGAACGAGAGGTCCACTTTCAAAAAATTGAGCAATCAAATCTATAAAAAACCTGCAGATAGTTAGGACTAAGATTGAGTTATCCTTTTCAATAAACGAAAGACTTCCATCTTTTCCTTTTTCCACCAAACCTATAAAAATTAGGGTCGAAATTGGGCTTTCTCCTCAATAAATGAGGGACTCTTTTTGGATCGAATGACCAATCCTATAAAAGTTAGGGTCGTTTGAATCTTTCCGATTCTCGGAGTGGAGATCTCACTCTTAGTTTCATCATTTCGGATTCTAGGAGTGGAAATCCCACCTTGAGTTTTCTTTCCAACTGGAGATAGAATATAAAATTCTTCCTCTTCAGTGCCGGGAGATAGAATATAAAATTCTTCCTCTTCCATTTTCCAGTCCGTCTTTACCCTGAGAAAAGACACAATTCCTAACTTCCAATCCGTGCACTTTGTGCACGGGGAATTTTATCTCAACTCCTAAATAGAGATAAGGCTACGCCTAATACGCGTTGCCGGTTTAGTCTTTCACCAATTGAAAAAGACACCAGAATCCAGTCTGGGGAATTTTATCCCGAAGCCTAAGCAGGGATAAATCAACGTCTAACACGCGTTGCCGGTTTAGTCTTTCACTGATTAAAAAAGACACCAGAGTATATAATTCTGGGGACTTTCATCCCGAATCCTAAGTAGGGATGAGTCAACGCCTAATACGCGTTGCCGGTTTAGTCTTTCACAGATTGAAAAAGACACCAGAGTACAATTCTGGGGACTTTCATCCCGAATCCTAAGTAGGGATGAGTCAACGCCTAATACGCGTTGCCGGATGCCATATTCCCGTAAGAAATGGCGAAGTCTATGTATTCAAAATCATAGCATTAAGTCTAAGAGAAGCAATTCTCTTAGCACAACGTTACATGTGAAACGGGTTTTAATAATTCACATGCTAGCCCGATTCAAACGGTAATCGGTAAAGGCACGTCAAACCCGTTGATGGCTGGGGGTTTGCCAAAAATCCCAAAGCCTATGTCTAACACACATGGCCGGTTAGTCTTTGACCGTAAAAAGGACAAAAGACCACATATTCAAGTTGTGACAGGTTGTTATTAATAACGCCAAAATCCGTGCTTCACACGCACGGGGAAGTTTATCCCGAAGCCTAAGCAGGGATAAGTCAACGCCTAACACGCGTTGCCGGTTTAGTCTTTTACCGATTGAAGAAGACACCAGAATCCGAGTCTGGGGATTTTTATCCTGAATCCTAAGTAAGGATAAGTCAGCGCCTAACACGCGATGCCAGGTAGTCTATTCCCGTGAGAAAGACGAAGTCTACGTATTCAATATCGTAGCATTAAAAGAGTTAACTCTTTTAGCACAACGTTATGTGCAGAACGGATCTGAACAATCTGCATGCTAGCCCGACTCAAACGGTAGTCGGTAAAGGTTCATCAAACCCGTTGATGGCTGAGAATTTGCCAAAAATTCTATAAGTGCGAGTCATTGATGCATCAGCTCTGCTAGTTGGTCTCGTGACTCGATTATCCAACAACATTAAAATAAGATCCACAAATGCAGATGAATCAGCTTTAACAATTGGTCCTGCAACCCCGACACTTGGGACCACTATGCTCCAATACCTTAAGAGCTTAAACTGCGTATACTCCACTAAACGTACGAGTATAAACTGTGTCAACGTACGACGTTCGAAACCCTAGGGTCAATGCCGGTCAACGCGTAACCCTAGGTCAACGCCGGTCAACGCGTTGTGACAAAAAGTCAACATTCGACGTTCGAAACCCTAGGGTCAATGCCGGTCAACGCGTACTAGGTTAACGCCAGTCAACGCGTTGCGATCAAAAAGTCAACGCGAGTCAATATATCATGACGGAGATAGTCAGTTCAAAGTCAACTCGATGACACGAGCCAAACTCAACTCATCGGTTTTAGATTTGAGACTTCAACGACGGCCAGACGATAAACGCAGCGCCGGAAGCATTTTAGCTATTCGTCAAAGCATCGAATAGACTGAAAATCGAAGGAGTCAAGAATTGAAGCTAACTACAGGTCCATTACGCCAATCGAAGGCTGGACCAATCATATCCAAAGTATTCCAGCCTCTTCTATAAAAGAAACGAGTCTGGAACGCTTTGGAGGGGGTATCTGTAGGCATCGAAAATTGCCTATAGGTCTCCACGAACAGCTCAAAGCTAAGAGAAGACGATGAACGTCACCATCTGGTTCACAGAAGCTTGATTGACATCGACGAACGCTTGAAGTGAATCGGCAAACTATGTGAAGCAACAGAGTTTCAGAATAATAAAGATACGAACTGATCGGGAGCCCCGTGTCACTTACAAAAGACGAAATACCCTTCGTGTCTCATTTATTCCACAGATGATCTAATCATTGGAGCTTATAGAATTCTTCGCCATCTTTCCAACGCACTTCGAATCACTCAAATCCGAGTTCGGACGAAGAATTTACAGCGGAAGCGGACGAATGCATCACAACGGAGTGTCTCGGCCAAAGCCGAGACACCCTAGGGTGTCTCGGGTTTTGGGAGACATCCTAGGGTGTCTCGGCTTTTGGGAGACACCCTAGGGTGTCTCCAACGCGGATTTGGGCCCTTTAGGTGGTTTTAACCGCTCCGCAACCCCTCAAGCCTATAAATACAAGCCCCAGACCCTCATTTTTGGGGGCTGGAATTCTGGGGCCGCGGCGAAGCCCTGCCGGATTGGAGACTTAAAGTGCACAGATTTCAAGAGAGGAGGAGAGATCGGATCTAGTTCTTCAACGCAAGAGAGAGAGATTCGTCAGATCTACATCGCCCGCATCCGATCCTTAGAATTATCCCGTTGTGGTAATTCTAAGAAGAGCAATTATCTCGCTTTTATCGAGATAGGCGCTTCAAGTTTCTAGATCTCCTTGCGGATCAACGAAGCTCTGGACCAGATTTGATTGCCAGGTAGTCCACGGATATCAACGTCCCCGTCACAGGCTAAAGACCCACGCAAGCAAGAGACGACGAACGGATCTTGTGTTTATTTTCAAGAAAGTTGTAATCTTTATTATTTTGTTGTTTGAATTTCATTTGTAACGTTTGAAGTTTAATGAAATCAATGATGAAGACAACTTTCGACGAAAACACAAACCAGTAAAAAGACCCCAATAAGTAATTGAAAAACATAGACCAAGCAAAAAAATGTGCATAATATTTCACAAAAAGAGGCAAAATAAAAGACCTCATCTACTTGGTCGCCAGATGAATGAACATTGTCATAGTTATTGTACTGCTCCAACCATGCTCTCCTATAGTTTTCCCTCGTAATATGCAATCTATCCCATGGAATCCCTTATACATCTTTCCCTCTTCTTGCTTTCACAGAGGATGTATCAGTTACTCTAGTGAGCTGCATGCACTCAATCCCAAATCAAATAAAGATCAAAATCAAAATTTCATTTTTTTTTTGTTATGGATCAATTCACAATAAGAGTATTAAAAATTGATAAGAAAATTATAAAAAAATTGATGTAGATGAAAAAGGAAGCACTGACCAATTCATACTCATTCTCAACTTGATCAGTGATGATGCCCACATCATCATCCTCAGTACATGTATAAATGTGAGTTTTTGGGGCTGGGGTACATTTTGTAGCCTCTTTTGGGACTAAAGAGTAAGGGGAAAAGATTAGAGAGCTTGGCGACATCCAATTTTTTTGAGAGGCCTTGACACATTTTTCCCAAAAAATTATTATGTTCAACATCTTACATGTGATGTCAACTCTTTTTCTATTATTTTTTCGCTGGCCGACATCCCATGAAAACAAACAGTTGATATACGGCCATACAATGAATTAGTTCATCCCTTTGCCAATACAACAACTGTAGCTTCTCATTCATAACTGCCTTTTGGTGGTCAATAAAGTTATGTGGACATGTCATGTCAATCATCAACTTGCATATTCTTGCATTTTTATGTCTTCAAATCTTAGCCAAGAACCTAAGGGGTTAGATTTGGTAAGTTTTGCATTGACAAATTGGACCTGCAAACTTAAAATTTTAGATTTTAATTAAATATATTGTTTATTTGTTATATTTCATGTCACGAAGTTGAGGTTGTTATTTAAGATAGATGCATTAAATATAATTCTCTAAAAATATGTTGATTTTAACTGAATTTATAATTTTAGTTACATGTCCGCAACAAAATGCATGTGTAACCAAACAAAAACTTGGTTAGATTTTGTTGCTTATAGAAATACACTTTAATATCCATTGCATGCAAATTATATTTTAAATTTGAATTTTTCTAGATCCATATTATGCATCAAAATACAATCCACAAACCAATCAAACAGCCCTTGAAGTACAATAACTGCAAGAACTAGATAATCCGTATAAAAGATTAAGTCATACAGCGTTATTGCTAGCTAGTAAAATATTTGAGCTACATACTTAGGATGCCTAAGTTTCTAGTGTTTATTTTGATACCACTTGGAGTTAATGGTCAAGGGAT